ATGATCGACAGCGAAGAATACGGCTCCCATGTTAATGCCGGGCCGCCCGAACGTTTGGACATTCAAGCGCACGAGTGGCGAGAATATCGACTAGCGAAGCGTCAAGCCGGGCTGGAAGAACACGTACTGTGGGTTCGTCGAACGAACAAGTTAATCTCGTCGGTGACGAGGTTTCGACGTGGACGGCCTCAGAGCATTCGATTGACCAACGTGTCGGACCGAACTGTGTACCTACCAGCACACGACTCGATCGCGATGTGGATCCCAGATGGGGATTTGCCACGAGGTGACGGCTATGTGCGTCTGGAGTCCAAGAAGTACCAAGACTGGCAAGTGTTGGCCTACGAAGGTTGCAGAGACCGCGAGCTTTTTCAGCGTGAATGCGAAAGCTACGAACAATGGCTTGCAACTCAGCCTTCGGCAGTTGATCGACCAGACTACTTAGAACCCGGTGGGGTGCTAGCACGACCTCTAGAAGACTCGCTAGTGGATTCTAGTGATCGTCTGACGTGTACAGAACGCTGGGCACTGATCCTGGAAGAACGTGAACGAGTGGATGCCTGTCTGGAGTCTGGGGTGACAGTCGGGGATTCGGCCGACGGTCAGCCTTCCGAAGAACCTTTGGACACGTACACGACAACCCATGACGGAGGCAATTACGCGAACGAAGCCTCGGTAGTGCGTACACACGAGCTACTGAGGCCGGTAAACGTGGTACATACGCCAACGAGTGTTAGTGTCCAGTCAGGGCATCCCGGCCAGACTCACGTGTGCACGGAGGGTGCGATTTGCTTGGAGAAGGCGAGTGTTACGGTCTTGCTGGTTCTCGAGGACCTTGAGCGTGTCGTTATCAACGTACTTGCCCTGGGCAAGCTTTACCAGAAGGAGGTGAAGCTCCCGAGTCTGCTCGGTATTCGCTCCAATAGAAGACTTGTACACTTCGCGTTCGCGAGCCAGCTTCTTCTGCAACGTGCTGATAAAAACGTCCCGAGCTTGGACCTCGCAGTGCAGACGATTCAAGTCTTCTGCATGTCGCTCCATAGTGGCTTGAACAGTGGCGAGCATGGCGTCGTTCTTGGCGTTCGACTCGCGGAGGATCTTGACATTGTGGTGAAAGGCTTCAATCTCAGCGTTGGCAGCCTTGAGGAACGCCTCCGCGTTCTCACGAGCCACGATTTCGGGTGCCACCGAACGTACGGCGGCAGCAGCCTCGGACTGAGCAAACCGCAGCTGACGCTCCAAGTCGGCAACTCGTTCGGGTAATGCCGACAGCGCGTCAGGAACCGGTTGTACCGCAGCGAGGACATCATCGAAACCAACAGCAGTCTCGAGGCGACGTTGAGTGTGTACATCGCCGTGGAGAGGAGGCGCAACGCTGAGCTGCACTTGGTGACGAGCCATTGCAGTCAAGTACGGGATTATCGAGGTCATCATGTGATCGACCGATGTTTCCGTACTTTCAGGCAGCATGGCGCGCAGTGAATCTTCGGTGAGTGGTGGTGGACCACCAGCTGGGGTAGGAGGAGCAGCAGGAGCCATCTCCGCGGACTCAGCGACGACGGAGAGTGCTGCAGGAGCTATCGCAGGGAGTGAAGAGTCCGGGGCAGCAGGCGCCGGAGGACCGGTTGATGACGCTGCTGTCGGAGGAAGTGCAGCAGACTGAGGGGCGTTCGAACCCTCGGTCTTGCCCTCCTGAGAAACAAGTCGAGTAATGCGAGGTGATGAGCAAGGTACCGATGATTCAAGAGAAGGATGAGCAGACGTACCTCCAGCTGTTCACGTTTACGTCGTCGGCGAGGAATAAGACGCTGGAGCGCGTTATTCATGGCCCGATTCCGACGCTTGGACATCCTGTAACTGGATGGTAAATTGGAGAATGAAGAAATGTCACAACGGGCACCAGTATCGTGGCTTCCATTGCGACAGGGGCAGTTGTGGTGTAGTGATTTCTCCGTAGTTGCGGATTATCACCCGTCGACAAAGACGTGACACCGCCCAAGATGTTCAGGCGACGAACCCTCGGTCAGGTGATGTACGGAGACGCCAAGGTGCCAGGGACTCGACGGCGTCACTCCCGAGCTTTCAACGAGCATTGGATACGGCCATACGTCACTGAATCCAGGCTGTCCTTATTATTAATAATGGAGTGGCCGGATTCGCATTCAGCGGACCATATACGGTACGAACCCTCAGTGGCGGTTGGGATGAGTTCGCGGAAGACTCAGCGACCATTGGAAGGCACGTTCACCGTCTGGGACAGGGCGCGGACCGTTAAAGATGCTCATGCGACGGTGCAGACGACGCTTGGCATGCAAGAAGATCCATAACGGATCATTGTTCACTTGATATTTGTATACTTGATTAGGACTTCTTATTAGGAATAGACCCGAAAGGGTAAACATAAATACAGAGCAGAATTTCCACTCAAGCACACAGAGCGACGTCCGGCTTCAAGGTAAGCGTCAGGTCAAGCTTGTTTGAGTGTGTTATGCCTGTCGGTGAGCTCGAAGCTCTGTAGCGAGGGTTCATCCGGCAAGGCCAAGAGACTTTGTGTATTGGCCGATTATTATCGGGAGGTTTTACGTGACGGCTTATTGTTGCCTATTTGCACGACTGGGAGTGCTTGTATTGCATCCCTTTTATTCTTCCAGCCGAGTGTTGAACACTCGGTGATCTCGTAAAAGGCTTACTCGTGCCTGGTACCCTTCCGCTGTTGGGACAACGAGGATTCAAAACACCTGCTAGCTTTGCTCGTGCTAGTAGCGTGTTCTTATTTTTACTGGTTGGTCTATATAAGTAGTTTACAAGGTCCAGTTTGTCCCGGTGCAAGGGCAGAGCTGGGTCTTCAGGTCCGCCCGAACGATCGTTTACTATCCTAGTAGACGTATTGTTGTGGGAACATCCTAACTACATTTGTAGCTAGAGTTCACGTGGGATTTCCAACACCACACCCATAACTCCATAGCCTTTTGAAGGGGTACCGTACCACCATACACCGAGTGTACTACCAGCAGCCCATTACTTCCCTTCACCGGCTGAGAGAAACACGTCTCTCTGGGCTAAGTTCCGTGGTGCGCACAACCTGCACACCCAGCACGAAGACTTAGCGCTCTTCAGTAGGGCATACCGCCTCTACTGGTGGCCGGGGAGTCTTCGTCCACCTGACCGTGGCGTGCGCCATAGGACCAGCGGTCCACGGGCTGCATACTTCCCGAACACTGGGAGGGTCAGACACGCTGGTAGTGTCGATGTCCACCGCATCCGTAGCAGCAGACCAAGCTCTCGGCCGAGCTTAAGTCCATGGGATCGGGCTCGCTGTACGCACCGGTATAAACAAGCTGCGTGACCGCAGGAGCAACAGCGTCATTGCTGCGATGCTCCGCCGCTCGAGGAGCGCCATCTCCATCGTGATGTTCCTCTTCCCGTGGAGTACCCGCCTGGTTGTGGCTGTATTCTTCTTGGAGGGCTATTCGAATCGCCTCCTCCATCGTTGTCGCTTGCACTTGGATTAGCTGGGTGCGAACAGGACCGACCTTCAGGCCGTCCATGAAGACTGTTGTCTTGATGTCTTCAGGCCGAGGATTCCCTACCAGAGATGCCACCAACGTGCGCATCTCTTGCACGTACTCCTGCAGCTCACGTTGACCTTGCTTACACGCGAGAAAGCGTGAGCGCCGGCGGAACTCGTTGTTCGCCTGTAGGCTCGAAGCTGTTCACACAGCTGATGCCAGCATGCAAAGCATCCAGGCGATGTCGTCTCCCTGGTGTATGCCCAGTGCTTGGTACGCCCACCAAGGTTGGACAGGGCAAAAGCCACCCGAAGTGGCTCGTCCAAGATAAGATTCGCCTTTATGATGACCTCCACCTCACGGACCCAGAAGTGAACCTCCTTTCTCCCCCTCAAACGCGGGACCTTCAGCCATACCGGCTTAGGCCTGATTGCCTGGGGAGCGGCCATCGAGGTCTCCAAACTCCCGTGGACGTGATCGATGAGACCACGCTCGTAGGTCTCAAACGCAGTCAAGCGTTTGTGTTGCTGGGCAGGCGTCGCTGCCGCCAAGCTGCGGAGGACATATTGTCCAAAGATGCCTCCCATCTTCCGAACAGACTCGTACTGTGAGTCGTTCAAGCGATGAAACTCACTTCGGTCCATCGTGGCTCAAACATAGAGCGCACAGAGGATTCAGGTAGTTCAATTTGGCGGGACGGTTTGCTACTTTGGAAAGTAGATATAAGACTGATGTATTTATAAGTAAGCTTAGCTGGGGCTCCATACAAACTAGATGTTACCTATAGTGGAGCTAAGTATACATGCCCTGACTGGTTCCTAGAGCACCTGGTACCGTGTACCAGGTGTCGACAAGAGTGAAAGGTCACTCTTTTTGTAAACTGGGGTACACTGGATTGTACCCCGTTACACAAGGGGAGTTACTTGGCGGGGTTTCCCCATAAAATACGAAATAAGGAGGAGGGAGTGAAAGCCGACTCGCTCTTGTCTACGACCGAATGGCGAACTAGATGTCCGAGCATTACCTGGTAGACCTTATGGAGGGATTGAGCTTGGCAACACGAACCCAGGACCAAGCATGGATTAACCTCTTTCGGCCCTATAGGGTTAATGCCCAGGAAGGTCTGGGTTTGAGTGATAAAATTCACGCTAACTCCTCCTCTTTTGGAGATTTGCAGTCTTATGACATTCATTATTCTCCTTGCTCTTTGTCAGGTTTTACTTCTAAACAAGTGATTGATTACTGTAGACAGAAGTCCCCCTGACTTGAGCATCATATACCCCTTTATATCGGATCATGGTGACTGAAGGAACTTTTGTCAAATCACCATACTACTGTACGTAGTATTACTTTGTTATCCCTATGCAAATTTATCAGACGACCCGCTAAGTAAGTACTACATTGTAGCTCTTCTTAACTTCGTAATACATGCTCTAACATGTGTGCAAAATGGTAACCCCAGCAGCGAGGTCTCCTGGAGTTTCAGGGTGCTCACTTCCGTCCTTCTTCCTGCTTTTGCCAATGAGACTTGAGCAGCGCAAGACGCAATTGTAGCCGAACTGGGTCCGACGCTGCGTAGTCCATTGGGGTGCGTCCTTCTCGATCCTCTCGGTCAGGATCAGCGCCAGCCGCCACTAGCATTTTTAGAATGCCTCCGAAATCATTAGCAGCCGCGCTGTGCAAGCTTGTAGTTCCATCTGTTAGCTGCGTAGCGTTGACGTCGGCGCCTCGAGCCAGCAGCAGCTTAACGACGTCGGTCCGGCCCTTCGATACAGCTCCGCGCAGTGGCGTGGTCTTGTTGGTGCCCGATGGGGCTTCCGCCTCGGCGCCGTGATCGAGCAGTAGCTCGACGATGTCCTTGTGGCCGCAATACGCTGCAATGAATAGTGCACGCAAGTTGTTTTGCGCCTGCGCTTCGAGTCGTGCTCCATGTGCCAGCAGCTCGCGCGCCACTCCTACATGTCCACGCTCAGCAGCAATGTGCAGAGCTGTCATAGTACCGGGATGTTTCTCGGCATCAACACTAGCGTCAAAGGATAACAGGCAACGCACCACGTCTCCATGGCCGGATTCAGCAGCCAAGTGGAGTGGTGACGACTGGCGCTGCGCACAAACAGCGTCAACATCAGCACCATTGAGGAGTAAGCTGTTGACAACCGTGAGATGGCCATGCTTAGCTGCATAATGCAACGCCGTGTAGCCGGTGGACGATGTAGTAGCGTCGAGCTTCGCACCGCCCCACAGAAGGTGGAGCACGACGGCCAGGTGACCCTGTCGAGCGGCAAGTACTAACGGCGTTGCTTGCTTCTTGCTACTAATTGCCTCAATATCGGCTCCACGAGCTAGCGCGTGCTCCACCATCTGCAGATAGCCATGCTCCGCTGCACAGCACAGCACGCGGGGCGCTGCGTCGGGCAAGCTGGACGCGCATTCGTCGTGAGCGAGCAGGAAGCGCACGATCCCCAAGTGGCCTCGTCGAGTTGCCAGCATAATTGGGTGCCTTGACGGCTCAAGCGCTGCAAGGTCCGTCACGTTAGCCGCGCCTCGTGTCAGCAGGTACTGTACCATATCCAGGTGACCATTTTTGGCTGCCAGACACAGCGCGACTTGGTTAGACCTGCAAGACGAGGCCTCTTTCTCGAGCTCATCCGGTGATCGCGACTCAGACTCGGACGATTCTTCAGCTAAAGCCTTTCCTTGCGTTTCCACATCTACCGATTTCTTTCGCCTCCGATGCCGTCGCTGCCGAGAGCTATCGCCCGCTGCCTCGCTTTTTGCAACCGCAGCTAGATAATCCGTCGTCACAGCATCGATGTGTGCTCCACGGGCAATCAGTAGTTCCGCAATCTGCACGTGACCTTTTTCGGCTGCTCGATGCAGTGGCGTCGTGCCGCGTTCAGTCGCTGCATTCACGTTGGCTCCACGGTCCAGCAGTAGGACGGCCACCTCCACGTGTCCCTGGTATGCAGCTTCATGCAGAGGGGTAGTGCCAGCTACTGTGGTCTCATCGACCGGTAACCCCTTGTCAATCAGGTACGAGGCCACATCAACAAAGCCCGATGCCGATGCCAAGTGTAATCCAGTTGCACCACCTGGCAGCGCAGCCGACAGACAAGCACCGCGAGCCAGAAGCACCTTCACGGTCTCCAATTGTCCGTGCATAGCCGCAACGTGTAATGGTGTAGAACCGTCAGCGTCGCCCGAGGGGCTCGTTTCTTCTGTGAGCAAAATCTTTCCTGCGAGCTGCTCCGGCGACGAGCACGCTGACGAGCTGCTGCAACTGCTGCCAATCCCGCTGCCTTCAATTCCCGTCGAAGCGCTGGAGTTGCTGGACTTTATCGATTTACCCGGGGAGCTCTCGGGGGAAATGGAAGAGGACGAACTGTGCGGCTTCTTCGGTGGGTCCTCCGGGTTTCCCACCTTCTCCAGGAACTTGGCCACGCTGGCGTGCTCGTTTATCGTGGCAATAAAGGCAGCATCGTTGCCGTCCACGTCGCGTGCCATTACATCAGCTCCGTGGGAGACTAGCGTTTGTACGAGCGAGAGCGACCCAGACCATGCTGCGAACATGAGGGCGGTAAATCCCTCAGGGGTTGGGACTTCCAAGTGGGCGCCGAGCCTCAGCAGTTCATGCACGGCGTCATCGTGGCCGCCAACACAAGCGAGGTGCAGTGCTGTGAAGCCGTCTTCATCTGCAGTGTCGATCCAAGTCTCCGATGACGAGGAGGAAGAGGGCCTTTTGATGATATCAATGCTGGGCGACGGAGAGGGGGCGCTGTTGCGAGCCGTCTGGACAAGCTTGACGATCTTCTTCACGTCTCCAGTCTGAGCTGCGCGTTGTAGCAACTGCGCGAAGCTAGCACCGTCCGTAGAGGCGGAGGATGGCGACGAGAAGGGCGACATGGACTCCTCGTCCTCCGTGACGGGGCTGCCTCCGCTTTGCGTGCTGGAACTCGTGGCGTGCATGCGACGAAGTATCAAATGGATAACGACAGGCGTGAAGAGCGGAGCTGGACCGCTTAGCTGTATTACAGGAGCGGACAGTGACCGGGGTAGTGCGGAGACCCGACCTGTCGGCGACTCGCTCACTCAATTGAGGTCTCGGACTCCGAGCCGTAGCTCTGCGAAATGCCGCTTGTCGGACGGAAAGTCGCGCCGACAGGCGAACGACGGACGATGATGCGCGTCAAGTTCAGCGCTGAGAGCTCCAGAGTGTGCGAGCTGTGGCCTGTTTTTTCGAATGTGTACGCTGGTTGGACGAGCAGAGTTGAAGATGGGAAAAATGTAGAACGTGGGCACCGACGACGGAAGCGAAATGCACTTGTACATGCAATACTGTCCATGAACTTATTATTTATAAATACATGTTTTAAAACAGCAACTGTAGTACTGTAGATATACATGCACAGAAGTCCCCGTAGGGGCCGTCTGATAAATTTGCATAGGGATAACAAAGTAATCTGGTGCTTTGACAAACGTTCCTTCAGCCTCTGTGATCCGATATAACAGGGTATATGAAGTGCTAGCTACGCTTATTCAGGGGGTTCGAAGAATCTGCTATCGTTTCGTTGTGCTACTGTAGCAAAGAACGGCGGGCTCTCGTTGGACGGATCGTCTCATTATTAATAGCTTAATGGTAGCCAAATATCATATTAAATTTCTGATAGTAGTAGTACTATTTCCGACACTAAATATAAATAGTAGCTCAGGTTTTCGAAAGCTAGCTTAATATTTTAATTTTAGCTCAGAGATTTGAAAAATATTAGATACTAGATGATAGGTTCTGTTTTCCCACTTAAGTACGTTTTGTTTTGCCTCTTTCGGTCAGGTTCCAAAACAGCAGTAGTGATGCAAGTATTTGCTCACAATGACACAGACAAAGCCGATCGAGATGGAAAACTGCAAGCGGTTGCAGCTGTTTGAAGTCGATAGAGCGAAATCAAGGTATTTGTTCCCGATAGCCTCGTCCTCATCGTGCGTCTAATAAACCTGTAGCCTGTGACGCTATATTAATGCGTTCAGCAGTGCCAACACACTACACCATTGCCACCATTTCCCTCACTGTTGATTTGTAATACTTCTGCTAGTCGAAATATAACGACATATGATTGGTGGTTTAATACCGATCACGCAATCTTTGAGAGCGTAATATCGAAGTAGCTAATATTATGTTAAAATGTTATTTCGTCTCAGAAGAAAATATTTGGTGATTTTTTTTTAAATTAACGGGTCTACCAGGTGATATTATCACTATATGATTTTGAAGCTACCATTAACCCCTGCTCGTCGTCGTCGAGTCCGGATAATGGAGAGGAGGGTCTCTTCCATCATTTATTTGTGCTCTCCATTGCGAGTCGCAATTTGCGACGCAGTGCCTTGATCCACGATGTCGATTCGATGCGGCATGGTAATATCAGCTGTCGTATACCTCCACCTCCTAGGGTCGGGTAGTCCGCGGCTGTCCAGGGAATACGGTCTCGTTCAGTGGCCAGAACGGTAGGCAAGAACACTTAAAAATATAAGTTTCTTTATTGACTTTGCAGCGGGGCTGCCGTAGCTTTAGCGTCAGAGGAAGACGTTCGACTCAAAGAGTCACTGATACTAAGTTCCTTATCCAAAGGACACTTACAGCCCAAGACCAGGGCTCAAAGTTAACACCTTAACTTTTATGCTTCAAAACCAGAAGTGTTTTATTTACTATTATTGCGGCCAAGCCGCCTAGGGGTAAATGTATCTCTTTAACTATCTAGCATAGTTAAACCTAATCAAATGCATAACGTGTGGCTTTCAGCCAACGTACTGAGATACCTTGTTAACTCTCCAACTTATGTACTGAGAGTTTGTTAACTCTCCGGGTACTTCGTACCCCTGTGTGCTCCACACCATGTAACCCCGTTACACTCTCCCCCACTAAGATGAGAACATTCCGTTCTCGAAACTCTCCTCAGCGAGGTCACGTCTTGTTAAGACGGCGGAGGTTACTACACCTCACACCAGCGTTGTACAGCTCCGTGAGCTCATATACGCCTACGCATCGTTGATGCCCAACTTCTCGTCGTCGGCCCACGGCCCAATGCTCCAAGCGCTGCGCGCATCTTGCTCTCAAGCGGTCTCAGACCTACGCTCGCGCTCCGCGCCTACTCCAAGAGCTGCAAACCGCTTAGAGCAATGCTCTTGACTCATTCGAGTCGTCGACAACAGCTCAGCGGTTGAACACTCGCTTCACAAGCGATAGGTCCGTGGTTCAAACCCACTAGGGCACAGCCCTCTCGTTCCATGAACGATTGTTCACGCTTGGACAAGCTTAAGGGCAACACCCTTTTAGCTCAATGGTTGAGCGCTGGCTTTGAGAGCCACAGGTCGGTGGTTCGAGCCCACCAGGGCACAGCCCTGTCGTTCCATGAACGATTGTTCACGCTTGGACAAGCTTAAGAGCAATCCGCTTTTAGCTCAGTGGTCGAGCGTTGGCTTTGGAAGCCACAGGTCGGTGGTTCGAACCCGCCAGGGCACAGCCCTCTCGTTCCATGAACTATTGTCCTTGAATGGACAAGCTTAAGGGCAACGCCCTTTCAGCTCAGTGGTCGAGCGCTGGCTTTGAAAGCCACAGGTCGGTGGTTCAAATCCACCCGGGCGCAGCCCTCTCATACCATGAGTAGTCCGTTCTCGGACTGACGTACGGGCATCGCCCTTGTAGCTCAATGGTAGAGCTCCGGCCTGTCAAGCCAAAGGCCAGTGGTTCGATCCCCGTGCGGGACACCACTTTCGCTGTTACAGCGCATCCACATTTGGATCATGCTCATCGAGCAAGTTGTTTCAAAACAACTATGCGTCTATCGAGACGCTTGTGCCTGAACCTTGTTCAGCACAACACGAAGCACCTGCTTCCTTCGGGACCATGTCCCTAACACTACGAGGTCTCTCCACCTCCTGCTCCCGCTGCGAGCACCGCTCATACGTACGAGCTGGCTGCTGCATCCACTGGTCAGAGCCTGAGCTCAACTACTGACCTCATCGCTCCCCACTCTAGTGGGAGGCGCCCAGCGCCTGGCGACGCTGTCGCACGCCATGGTGGCGCTTCGGCACATGATGTGCCCGGTCGTAAGCGTCAACGACGTCAGGGCAATCTTGCCGGAGGATAACCTCAAACGCCCATGAGTTCTGTGAGTGAGGGTAACCCCTCCACTTCACTAAGTACTGGGTACGACCCTGGCGTCTACGCCACGCCACAAGGCGTTCCACGTGAAAGTGGAGCTCACCATGCTCATCGAGCAGAGCAGGAGGAGGCCTTGCCTCAGCTGGGCTCTCGCGGGGAGAGTCAGCACTTGCCGGAACGGCGTCTGCGTCCATACGACGCCGGCGTCCACGACGCGAACGTTCACCGCCCATCGGTCGATCTCGAGGAGATGATCCACCTTGTGGATAGGTTAGAGCCACCACTGTTGACTCACAACCAGGTCTCGGACCTTGAGCGTCCAGCTGCTCGGCTGAACGTTCAGCTTGCCTTGCTCCTGCATCTCGAGCACTTCGCTCCGCGACCTGTGGCTCTGCCACATGCTGTTGATCAGCCATCTGTGGATCCACCACTTGCTGTCGTTCAGCCTCCCGTGGCTCTACCACCTGCTGCCCTGCAGCTGTCCGTGGCCCAGCCACCGTTGGTGCCAACGCCTCCGCGCTCACCTGAGCAGGGTCTTGGTATGGCTTAAGCAAGCCGACATAGAAGACCGGATGCGTGCGCATCTTCTTCGGAAGGTTGAGCGTATACGCTAGGCCCTTCCTGGCCACGACCTTGAACGGTCCTATGAACCGAGGTCTTAACTTCGTCTTGAAGACTGCAGACACTGCATGAGTAGGTAGGTTTTTAGCGTTTAATAAAACTTGGTCACCGACCTCAAACCTCTCAACATTGCTTCTGCCCTTGGCATCTGCATGTTCCTTCTGAGTGTCTTGGCTTTCAGCCATAGCGTCGCGTACTTGACGCATTACGCTCAGTCTCAAAGAGACAAAGTCATCGACTTGCTTGCGAACCGCAACAGGGCTGACATCAGCTAGCCGCTCAGCTATCCCTCCCCCACCAAGCCCTGAGCCACTGCGTGGCGGCGTCAGTGGGACGCGAGGCTTAACCAAGCCGTTCACATAGAACGGAGTGTAGCCTGTCGAGGCGTGCACTGCATTATTTAATGCGAACTCAACGAGTGGGAGCATCTGGCTCCAGCGTTTTGGCGCCTCAGCGCATACGCTTCGGAGGGTATCCTCCACAACGCGATTCACGCGTTCGGTTTGACCATCGGTCTGCGGATGGTCCGCCGTGGACATGTCCAAACGAGTGCCGAGCACTCTGAAGAGGGACGTCCAGAACTTCGCGGTGAAGCGCGGATCTCGATCCGAGACAATTGCCTCAGGCAAGCCATGTTGGCGAAAGACTCGGTCTAAAAACAGCAAAGCTGTACCTTCACCATCAATGGTGTCCGGCACTGCTGCTAAATGAGCCATCTTGCTCAATCGGTCTACAAAGACCACTATACCTGTGTTTCCCGCCTTATCCTTGGGAAGGCCAAACACAAAGTCCATACTCATGGACTGCCAGCATCCCTTGGGGACAGGCAAACTCGCCAATGGCGCTGCCGTGCTCGGCGCGGACTTTGTCCGTTGACACGTCTCACACGTGCGTACATAGGTGCCGACCCACTTATACATCTTGGGCCACCAGTACATCGAGCTCACCGAGCCATAGGTCTTCTCCCGACCTAAGTGCCCGCCCACGGGCGTATCATGAACCTCATAGAGGATTCGATACTTTAGATCCTCATCATGAGGAACGACTACACGAGGGTTATCCTCAGCGTCGGTGCTGTAGTACAGCAGGCCGCCATCGAGTGAGTATCGATGCAGCCTCGCGCGTAAGCGCCCAGACAATTCCTTGTCAGAGTCTTTAAACTCTTCGCTCCCAAGAGCCCGTAGCAGCGCTACGCACATGTCGTCTTGTGCATACGCTCCGCGTATCAAGTCAGGCACTGACGACGTCACTGTCGTGACATGAGCTAACTCGTAGTCCGGCCTGCGCGAGAGCGCATCGGCCACTACATTAAGCCGCCCCGGCTTGTACTTCACCTCGAAGTTATACTTGGCAAAGAAGGAAAGCCATCTTGCCATTCTCTGAGAGAGATGAGGCGACTGTGTCGCAGTGCGTAACGACGCATGATCAGTAAAGATCCCAAAAGGCT